CACTGGAGGGTGGGCGTGGGGGAAGGGGCGGTGAGTGTCAGCTTGAAGCCCCTGAAGCTGTTCTGCCAAGTGCAGAAAGGGTGCCCCGTTGGCCCCCGATGCGCATGATGTTTTAACAAGAAAGGAGAGCAGAGACCGCCCTCCAGGTGGGTGTAGGGGCCTTGAGTCCCCCAGAGGGTCCCAGCTCTGGTGAGGAGATTGGAGGTCTCTGCCAGGACTTGGTGGCTGGGGTGAGGGAGGAGTCCGGCTCTCCAGGACTTGAGGCTGAGGCCCCTGGTGGCCCGCATGTTCGTCCTGAGAGGAAGGCTGCGTGGCTCGTTTTCAGTGTCTTTTGTGGTTCTGGAAGCCCACTCTGTGGGGTGGGCACCAGGGTCTAGCCTTCCTGGTCTTTAGTTCACGGTGCTGTGGCAGGTGACCACGGAGCTGAAGTCAGGATGGTGGGCGGCCCTGCAGGTCCTGAGCATGGCCCCTGAGGCCAAGAGCTTGGACCTGGGCATTTCCGCTGCCTCTGCAGGTGACCACCCTGCTGCACACACTGACCTCCTCCCCACACTTCCAGGGGACTGGAAGTGCTCAACAGACCACCCAGGAACCTTATAGAAGTCCTGTGGACTGATGCATTTAAAAATAGTCTTTGTTATGTTATCTGGTTGTGTAATTAATTCACATTACTGATAGAAAACTTGGAAACATCAGATGAGAAAGGCCGTGAGTGTCTATCCATGGCTCCTCTGCCGTCAGCACCATGTGCTATGAAGGGGAGACACGTTGGGGCTGCTGGGGCTGGGCTTGGTTGGGTTGGGCCAGGCTTTACTGGCTAGGGTAAGGGCGCAGGCAGTGTCCACCAAGCATGGGGCGTCCCGGGCCCCCGCATCCACGGCGACTGCTGTTCTGGGTGGTTGCATGGGCGCCAACTGTGATGGAGGGGTGAGGAACATTCCAGATGCAGGGCAGGTTGGGCAGTGGCTCTGGGCTGGAGGGGAATGGAGATGGAAGGGGGCATGGAGCAGCAGCAGGATTTATAGGAGTGAAGGACAGGATAGTGGAGGCCAGGCTGGATACGAAGTGGGGAGAGCCCCGGTCAGCCTTCTGGGTAGAGGGACAAGGGTATGAAGCTGCGGCACTCTGGAGGTTTGGTTGTTGGAGACACGGGAACAAGCCCGAGGCTGTGTGGGGCTGTGCCATGATGCTGTCTGCAAGCGTCCTCACAAGGACCTCGGAGCTGAAGGCAGGATGGCGGGTGACCCTGCAGTTCCTGAGCATGGCCCCTGAGGCCAAGAGCTTGGACCTAGGCATTTCTGCTGCCTCTGCAGGTGACCACTTTGCCGCACACACTTGTGGAGAGTACAGCCCCACCCCGGCAGCGGGCCCGGAAGAGGACCAAGGTGCTGACTTTGGCCAAGAGGTACTGGGAGTGTCTTTCAGACCAAGCCCTGCTCTGCTCCTTGCCCAGGGGCTGCGTGAGCCCATGGGGTCCTCGCCACCTATCTGGCTTCCCCACCTTGGTGGTACTGAGGATGGGGCTGCCTCGGGCACGGGCCACTGTCGCTAGTGCTGTTGAACCCACTTGGCCTGCTCAAGGTGAGTGTCTCTGCATCCCAGGATCCTGCGTTTCAAGAAGGAGTACCCCACCCTGCAGCCCAAGGAACCCCCGCCCTCCCTGCTGGAGGCTGATCTCACAGAGTTCGACGTGAAGAACTCTCACCTGCCCTCGGAAGTTTTGTACATGCTGAAAAATGTCAGGTACGAGGCAGGGGCACTCAGGGCCTGCAGCACTCAAGTCCTCCCAGGGGGCTGGGGTTGGTGTGGTGTCTCCTTGACATATTCTTCTCTCTGGGAGGGCTCCAGCCTGACTTCCCTGTGCCTTTTTTCTGCTTGGGGCTGCTGGTGTCTGTTGAGCTGCCTGCTGCCTCCCATTCTTGTTCCATTTACAGGTTTCTCAGTGTCTCATTCTCAGTGATGAGCCCTGAGCAGGGGTGAGAGCTGCATGGTGGACTGAAGTTGCCAGCCTGCAGTCTTTCCCACGTCCCATCTTGTGGTGGTCCCTGTACAAGTTTCCTCCTCTATCTAGCTCACCACCTGGGTGAAGTAGGGTGTCTCTGCTTTCTTCCTCTGTGCACTTGACATGGGTTCACAGCCAGAGTGGATAGCAAGAAGCTCCCAGGAACCCAGGAGTTCAACATTCTGTTCAATGGCGATGCAGTCTGCTTGTTGGTCAGCTGTGCAGCACTGGGCCTGGCACTGGCAGGGCGGGACCATGCCTTCTTGAGCTGCTCTTGAAGGCCGCCCGTCCGTCATCCTCTCCCCCAGGAAGGTGTCCCACCATGTGCTCTGGCTCTTGCAGGGTCCTGGGCCACTTCGAGAAGCCACTGTTCCTGGAGCTTTGCAAGCACATGGTCTTCGTGCAGCTGCAGGAGGGGGAGCACGTCTTCCGGCCAGGGGAGCTGGACACCAGCATCTACGTGGTGCAGGACGGGCGGCTGGAGGTCTGCATCCAGGACATGGTGAGCTGCAGGGGCCGCGCTGCCTGGGGACTGCTGGACTGCCATGCGTCCACTCACGTGTCATCATCTGAGGTTCTAAAACATTTTCCACTGGAAAGTCAGTGTGAAAGTTAGATTTTTAGTTATTTGGGGGAAAAGGCCTGTCATTGCTTTTTTTTTTTGAGTTGGAGTCTCACTCTGTTGCCCTACCTGCAGTGCAGTGGCATACTGCATAGCCACCGCAGCCTCGACCTCCTGGACTCAGACTATCCTGCCACCTCAGCCTTCCAAGAAGCTGGAACAACAGGTGCACACCACCACACCTGGCTAATTTTTGCGATTTATTGTAGAGACGAGGTCTCACCAAGTTTTTTAGGCTGGTCTCGAACCCCTGGGCTCAGGCAGTCCTCTCACCTTGGCCTCCCAAAGTGCTGGGATTAAAGGCTGAACCACTGCATCTTTTTTTTTTGAGCTGGAGTCTCACTCTGTCGCCCAGACTGGAGTGCAGTGGCACGCTCCTGGCCACTGCAGCCTTGACCCACTGGGCTCTGGTGATCCTTCCGCCTCAGCCTTCCACATAGCCGGAATTACAGCTGCTACCACACCTGGCTGATTTTTTTTTTGGTATTTTGTAGAAATGAGGTCTCGCCAAGTTGCCCGGGTGGGTCTCGAACCTGTGGGCTCAAGCAGTCCACTCACTTTGGCCTCCCAAAGCGCTGGGATTATAGGCTAAGCCACCAAGCCCAACTTGGCGTGTCATTTTTAAATGATTATTCCAAGTCCTCAGAATACTGCCTTTAGTGGTTTAGTAGTAAATCATCGTATTATCTGCCATGATCAATTGAGCCCTTGCCTTATTTTCAGGTTCCTGATTATAAATTATTTTATTTTACTTTTATTTATTTATTTTGAATAGGAGTCTCACTCTGTTGCCCAGGCTGGAGTGCAGTGGCACCCACGGCCATTGCAACCTTGCCTTCTGGGCTCAGGTGATCCTTCCACTTTAGCCTTCCAAGTAGCTGGAACCACAGGCACACACCACCACACCTGGCTAATTTTTTGATTTACTATAGAGATGAGGTCTTGCCGTGTTGCTCAGGCTGGTCTCAAATCCCTGGGCTCAGGAAATCCTCTTGATTCTGCCTCCCAAAGTTCTGGGATTACAGGCATGAGCCCCCACACCCAGCTTATAATTTTGATTGTAAGAAAATAATCAAGGCATTAGTTCACCTGGGAACTAAATACTTGTTTTCTTGCTGGGAGTGACCACCGATGCTTCGTGATTTGTCTGGTGTTGTGCTGATTTCCAGGAGAGTGCTGTCAGCTGTTTTTTTTGTGTGGCACTTTTGACCTAGACTTCCCATTGCATGTCAACGTTTAAAACAAATACTTAGCGTATCCTTGTTGAGGACTTTGTACGATGGTTGCTCTGACCTTGAGGGCTCTGGTCAGCTGTAGTCCCTAGAGCACTGATCCCAGGGGGCTTCCTGCACTGTCCTTCCAGGATTCTAGACCAAAGTTGTTGATTCTCAGCTTTGTAGCTTAGTCTCTGTCTGGACTTGATGAGTCATTAGAAAGGAAGGGGCCTTGGTTCCTCCATCTGGGGAAGTCAGGGCCAGTGGCTCCTAGGGCATGTGGCTGTCCCACTAGTGAATCAGAGGCTTCCATTCCAGCTTGTGAGGGGCCTTCTGAAAGGATGGGAGCTGGCGTTCCTTGGCAACTCCTTGGGAGGGGCTTGTGGAGGGTGACTATGGCCAGATTTGGACAACTTCATAGAGGATGTTCTCAGGTCAAGCCAAGATGAAGTTCCTGTATTAAATCACCAAGATTATATGTTGTCATTTTTTTCCCTTTTTTACATAGTGGAAAGTTGTACTAAAGTTCTGTAACTCATGCTGATAATAACTGAATTTGGTCCTCGGAGCCCTTATGGTTGACTCAGCAAACTGATCTGTGGAATTTCACCTCCATCTGCCCAGGAGGACAAGCCAGGGGATGGAGAGGCGAGGGTCTCTGCACTCGACTTCACGTTTTTCTCTGCTCTGCTTTCGAGTGTGCCATATTGCTGCCTCCAGCCTATCCTGTCCCTGCTTTGCGTTCCCTTTTGGGGTGGCATGTGGAGGTGTAGGTCTGCTGGCCCTGCCATCCTGGGCAGTGAGCTGAGCCTCCAGGGTCCCCGCAGACACCACCCTGGACTGATTCTCACCCTGCTCTCCAAGCACAGGATGGCACCGAGGTGGTAGTCAAAGAGGTTCTGGCGGGAGACAGTGTCCACAGCCTCCTCAGCATCCTGGACGTCATCACTGTGAGTACCGCCCCCTGGGCACCACCGCCCGGTCCTCAGAGTGTCCCTGAGTCAGCCTAGGCCCTGATGTTCCTGTCTTGCCTGGACAGCAGGTTCCTTAATGGTAAAGGCCAGTTCTCTACAGTGGCGGGAAGGAGCTCTGTCCAACCACGGTGGTAAAGAGTATCTGTGGGAACAGCTTCCCAGTGGGTTTAGGAATAACGGGGCACTTAGTTAAGAAGTAGGGCCGTCTCTTATTAAATGACTGTTTCTTGAATTTGGCAATACATGCATGTGATACAGCATTCGGAGGGCATGAAAGACTGTGGGTGAAGATGTTTCCTCCTTCCCTGGGGAAGGACCTGCTGCCATTGGTTCCACATAGACCCTTTTGTGGACGTTCCGTGCCGACGTGGATCTTTCTGTTGTTCTTAGTCTTCTGCTTTTCGTTGTTGCAGTGAGTGGTCGCGAACGCACGTGTGTCAGACTTTTGAAGACCAGTCTGTGGGATCAGCCCTCGGGACTGGCTCGCTGCATCCCAGGGATGCACCTTTCTGGCTTTGAAGGGTGACTGCTGATCCCCCGCTGCAGGGGCCACTGCCCCTCGTGTTGCGCCACTCATTGCCTCGCCCTCACCAGCGTGGTGTACTGCTGACCTTTCCTCTTTGCTCTTCTGACAGAGTAAAAAGTAGCATCTCTTGTTATCTCATGATTTTTAAGTATTTTCTTATGGGACCTTTCAGACATGCGCAAAATCACCCCTTGTGCTCAGTAGTAATCAGCGTTTGGTGTTTGTTTTATCTTCTTTTTTCTTTTGAGTAAAACCTACATACAGTGCAACGAATCTTAAGTGTCCATTAGCTGAACCTTGCTAAATGCATATACTCGTGCAGCTCAAAAGGGTATTTGGGGCAACCCCTTCGGGTCCCCTCCCACTGTGGAGGCTTTTCTGTCCTTTCAATAAATCCTGCTTTCTCAAAAAAAAAAAAAAGGGGGGTGTTTGATTTTAATCTTACTCTTTGAAGTTACACCTTTGCACTCATATTGAGGCAATGTTTACCTCAGTTTCCCTAGCCTTTGTTAGGGTGGGTCTGCAGAGCCTTGGCCTGGATGGCCCAAGCAGAGCAGGAGTTCAGGTCCTTCATGAAACCTCATGGTGGAGCCTGGGTGGTACCCTCTGATCCGATCCTAGGTTCTCAGGCCCATAGAGGAGGCAGCAGGCTCCAGAGGCATTGGAGTGTCCAGTGTGCTTGCCTCACTCCCGTCAGATAGGCACAGATGTACTTTGGGCTACTTGGGGCCGGGGGTGGAGGCGTGGCTGAGATCCCCGCGTCTCACTGTGTCCTCTGGGATCTGGTGTGTCTTCACCAGACACATGGCCCAGGCAGGGGAGGCTGCCTGCTAGGGGTGGGGGTGGGGGTGGGGAAGAGGATACTCACCTCTAAGCAAGGCGAACCTGCTATTGAAAGGCTGGCATTGGGCTTCGAGGGAGCCCCCAATATGAATGGGGGTAGAGTGGGGTCCAGGCACGAAGCCCGTCTCCATGTTCCCCCCTTCGGGGCCCTGCTTGCTGTGTGGTTGGTGTGTACTGCTGGAGCTCTGGCTGGCTTCTCAGGGCCTGCTGAATGCATGAGCAGCACTTGGGGCCTGAGAAAGTGCCAGGAAAGGTCTGGAAGAGCCTTGGTCTGCATGGATGCAAACCCATCAGCCGTGTGGTATCTGTGCCCTGTCCCTCCTTGGCTGATTAGTTTCTCTTTAGGCAAAAATAGCTTCGGTGCAAAGTGGGATGGAGGCCTTCCTCTGTATTTATTGTTCTTTCTGAGCCTGCTCCGATGGTGGCTTTCGGGTTGAACCTCGTTTATGACAGCGCTATGATGCGTGCAGCTGGAGAGGGGAGTCATTGCTATGATGGGGCCAAGGTTACCCCCTGCCTCCCCAGCCTGCTGTGCTCCATCCTCTGTGGGTGTTAGCACAGCCTCTCTCCCTCAGGGGCTGGAGCTAATCTTCCCTGAGTGGAGTAGGAGTAGGAGATGGTGGTGATAGCTGGGAGAAATAGTTCTACATTGTGAGTAATTGATCAGTTGGAGTGGCATCACTTTTGCTTCACCAAACATTTGTGTTTGTTGTTTTTTTAAAAAAATTTAAATGTTTGCAAAATAACATGGACAAATTCCGAAAACGTACTTGATGTTTTAGAGACAGCAGTCATCTGCTCCCCCTCCCCTACCATCGAAAAGCCACTTCTAACTCTTAGGTTCCTTCTAAGCAATCTACTTTCCTTGCTGTTTCCTAATTCTTCCGTTTTAGATGCATGGACTTCCTGTTATGGAAAATGAAGGAAAATAATTAGCTGGGTGTGGTAGTGCACACCTGTGGTTCCAGCACCTTGGTAGGTGGAGGCAGAAGGATCACCTGAGTCCAGTAGGTCGGGGCTGCGGTGGCAGTGAGCGTGCCACTGCACTCCAGCCTGAGCGACAGAGTGAGACTTTGACTCAAAAAAAAAAAAAATACTCCTAAATAATATATTGGTCAAAGGGAAGTCACAGGGAACTCAGAATATTTAGAGCTGAATGAAAATGAAAACATACCATATCAAAATTTTGTAACTTAAAATGCTTGTATTGTAAAATAAAACAGGTCTCAGATTAAGATGTAAGATTTTACCTTAAGAAACTAGGTAAAAGCTGGGCTCGGTGGCTCAGCCTATAATCCCACGCCTTTGGGAGGCTGAGGTGAGTGGATTACCTGAGCCCATGGGTTCGAGACCCACCTGGGCAGCAAGACCTCATCTCTACAATAAATCAAAAAATCAGCCGGGCGTGGTAGCGCATGCCTGTAATTTCGGCTACTCAGAAGGCTGAGGCGGAAGGATCGCTGGAGACCAGCAGGTCGAGGCTGCGATGGCCGCTCCTGCACTCCAGTCTGGGTGACAGAGTGAGACTCCAACTCAAAAAAAAAGAAACTAGGTAAAGAAAAACAAATGAAACATAAAGCAAGCCAGAGGAAGAAACTAATAAAGATAAGAGTCAAGAATCAATGAGACTGAAAATAGAAAAGCAGTAGAGAAAATCAGTGAAACCAAAAGGTAGTTCTTAGAAAATATCAGCAAAATACAAAAACCTCTAACCAGACCAGTGAAGAAAAAAGAGAGAAGACACAGACTACAAATATCAGAAATGAAAGAGGGGACATTTCTACAGACATAAAAGGACTAATAAGGGAATATTAGGAACAACTTTATGCCCACATAATCTATAACTTCGATGAAATTGACAAATTCCTTGAAAGACACAAACTACCAAAGCTCCGTCTAGAAGATATAGATTATCTGAATAGCCCTTGATCTATTAAATAAATCTAATTTATAGCTAAAATCCTTCCACTAGGAATATTCTAGTCTAAATTACTTGGGGAATGCTATTCAAAAATTTTTTTTTTTTTTTTTTTTTTTTGAGTTGGAGTCTCACTCTGTCACCCAGACTGGAGTGCAGTGTCCGCTCCCGGCCACCACAGCCTCGACCTGCTGGTCTCCCGCGATCCTTCCGCCTCAGCCTTCCAAGTAGCCGGAATTACAGGCATGCGCTACCACGCCCGGCTGATTTTTTGATTTATTGTAGAGATGAGGTCTCGCCAAGTTGCCTAGGCGCGTCTTGAACCTGCAGGCTCAGGCAATCCACTCACCTCAGCCTCCTAAAGGCTCGGGATTACAGGCTGAGCCACCGAGTCCGGCTTGCTATTCAAAATTTATAACATTTAAGGAAAAAGTAATGCTCATTTTATACATAGCTCTCTAGAAAAGTGAAGCAGAGATAATATTTCCCAGTTTAGTTTTTGAGGCGAGAATTTCCCTGATGCCTGGCCTGACAAAGGCATTACAAGAAAAAAAAAATCGTAGTTGAATTTCTCTTATGATCAAATACTCACATACCCTCAATAAAATATTAGAAATTTTAGTCCAGCAATATATAGAAATGGATAATTTGTCGTGATAAGTAGGGCTTATTCCAAGAACACAAAGCTGTTTCAAGAGTTGAAAATCACCAGGCGCGGTGGTGCATTCCTGTAATCCCCACACTTGGGGAGGCTGAGGTGAGAGGATTGTCTGAGCCCAGGGGTTCGAGATCAGCTTGGGCAACATGGTGAGACCTTGTCTCTACAATAAATCAAAAAATTAGCTGGGCATGGTAGAAGGCTGGGTGGAAGGATCATCTGAACCCAGCAGTCTAGGCTACGGTGGCCGTGAGCATGCCATTGCACTCCAACCTGGGCGATAGAGTGAGACCCTGTCTCAAAAAGAAAAAAAAAATTGAAAATCAGTTAGTGTAATTTACCATGTAAACAGACTAAAGAAGAAAAATCATATGATTATCTTAATAAATGCAGAAAAAGCATTTGAAAAAACTCAGCATCTGTTCACGATAAAAGCTCTCAGCAACTAGAAAAAGGAGAGAACTTCCTGAACCCAGTGAAGGACATCAATTAAAAACAAACAAACTCACAGGTAACGTTTTACTTAATGGTGAAAGGCTGAATATTTTTCTTTGAAGGTCAGGAACAAGCCAGAATGTTCTCACTACTATTCAGCATCATATTGGAGGCCCTCACCAGGGCAGCAAGGGCAGAGAAACAAATAAAAAGCATACAGATTGAAAAATAAAAAGTAAATCAGTCTACTCACAGACATGGTTAGGTAGAAAACTCTGTGGACTCTGCAAGAAAGCTACTAGAAGTTATGAATGAGTTTATCAATATACAAAAACCAGTTCTATTTTTATAGATTAGCAGTGAGCAGTTGGACACTGAAATTTTATTTTATTTTTTTGAGTTGGAGTCTCACTCTGTCACCCAGACTGGAGTGCAGTGGCCACTCCCGGCCACCACAGCCTCAACCTGCTGGGCTCCGGCGATCCTCCCGCCTCAGCCTTCCAAGTAGCTGGAATTATAGGCATGCGCTACCATGCCCGGCTATTTTTTAATTTATTGTAGAGATGAGGTCTCGCCAAGTTGCCAGGGCGGGTCTCGAACCCACGGGCTCAGGCGATCCACTCACCTCAGCCTCCCAAAGGCGCGGGATTACAGGCTGAGCCACCGAGCCCGGCAACACTGAAATTTTAAAAGCAGCATATATAATAGCACCTGGAACTGGTAGCTTAAGGGCTTCCAGGTTACCTACACTTCTGACCAACTGACTATAGGTTGGGATTCCCACGACGCCCTCAGATTCAGTGATTCCATAGAGTGACTCAAACCTCAGGAAAGCACTACACCACAGTTGTACTGTACAGCAGCAGGCCCCAACCTTTGTGGCATTGGGGACTGGTTTCGCGGGAGACGGTTTTTCTGTGGTCGGTAGTGGGGGGTGGCTTTGGGGTGATTCAAGCATGTAACATTTATTGTGTACTTCATTTCTATTATTAGCACGTTGTAGTATATAATGAAATGGCCATACAACTCCCTGTAAAAAGAAAAGAGGTGCAGATGAAACTGGTCCCTGAAATAATAGGCGGGTCATGCTTGGACTCAATTGAGTGTCGGGTTCTGACTGAAAGCCTGCCCCAGATGCAGCAGCGCCTCTGAAGGCTGTCAACTCACGGAGCAGGATTGCAGATGGTCTGCCTCAGGGGTCTCCGTGCAGTCAGACCTCAGTGCTCGCGCTCACTTGTCTGCAGCTGCGCCTCAGCCCTAGCCTCACTGTCTCAGCTCCACCTCAGACCATCGAGCATGAGATTGTCATAAAGAGCCGCAACTGAGATCCCTGGTGTGCACAGTGCACAGTAGGGTTCGTGCTCCTATGCAGGTTCAATGCCTCCACTGATGTGACTGGAGGCGGAGGTCAGGCGGGAATTCGAGCAACGGGGAGTGGCTGGCTGTAAACACAGGTGAAGCATCGCTGGTGCCTGCTGCTCGCCTCCTACTGTGCAGCCCGGTCCATGGCTCAGGGTTTGGGGACCTCTACTGCAAAGAACAGAAATCAGAATCAGTCAGTACGAGTGAGGCCTGGGAGGGTTCCCAAGCCTGAGGCTCCTGTGTCTTTGAGACGGGCCACCCTCCTGGCACACTATGTATCACCTGTACTGCCAGCCCCTTCCTGAAACTATCTTGGGCCTTGTGGCATAGCCTCAAAGTGTGGTCCAAGGGGCCCACTGTGAGTAACAAATGCGCTTCCATGGAACTGCCAAGGGTTTAGAGGCTTTTTCCTGGGAACTGGGGACACAGACCAGTTCCATTCTGTTGTTGTTTTTTTTTTGAGTTGGAGTCTCACTGTCGCCCAGACTGGAGTGCAGTGGCCGCTCCCAACCACCGCAGCCTCGACCTGCGGGTCTCTGGTGATCCTTCCGCCTCAGTCTTCTGAGTAGGTGAAACTACAGGTGTGTGCTACCACGCCCAGCTAGTTTTTGATTTATCATAGAGATGAGGTCTTGCCAAGTTGCCTGGATGGGTCTTTAACCTGCGGGCTCAGGCAATCCTTTCGCCTCAGCCTCCCAAAGTGCTGGGATTACAGGCTGAGCCACTGAGCCCAGCCAGAATAAGCATTCTTATTCAGCACTGACGGTACCAAGTGCTGGTGAGGACGGGTATCAACTGAAGGCTCATTCGCTGCTGGTGGGAATGTGAAATGGAACAGCCGCTGTGGAGAATGCTTCAGTAGTGTCTCGTAAAGGTGAGGATGCATACACATGACCTGGGAATCTTATCCCTAGGTGTTTAGCAAGAGAAATGAGAACTGTGTTCACACAAAGACCTGTGTATGCATATTTGTAGTAGCATTATTTTTCATGGCCAAAAACGGGCAGCAACCCAGATGTCCTTCGGCTGGTGATGGCTGAAGAAACCGTGATGCACCCCTGCACCAGGCAGGTACTCAGAAGGCAGAAGCACGAACTGCTGATGGTGTGACAACGCAGATGCCTTGCAAGCATATCATCTCGGGGAGAGAAGCCGACATGCCGTGTGACTGTGACGTTTTGACGAAGGCAGAACTATCGGGACAGAAAACTGAGTATGCTGGGCGCCGGAAGAAGGAAGAAGGAAAGCTGCCTAAAGGCCACCAGGGGCCTCTGGAGGATGGGGCCGCGCTGTTTCTGTGGTGAAGAGGTGAAGCTGTTTCATGTTGCAAGGGCGAGTTTCACAGCGTGCGTGTAATGCCTCGATTAAGAAATAGTCTCTTCTCTCTAGCGCCCACCAGTTTCCAGAAGAAAGAAGTCAGAAGCCGCTCATGAGGGATTTTTGTTAGGCTCTCTCCTTGGCCATGTAGAGTCCTGTTGGCAAAGTCCACTTGGCAAGCTGCGCCTGCCCCTCAGCTGGGGAATTGTGAGTGATCCTGGCAGGGGACTCTGGTTACTGCTGGGTCCCCATCACAGGCGGTGACTGGACCATGGGGGTGGTCATTGGACAGTGGTGATTCCTGATGCTCAGCGGCCTTTTCAGGAACCTGTGCAGGTGGGTGTCTTACATGTCCTACAGCTGTGGCGTCAAGACCAGTGCAGGACATTGGAGAGTTAGGCTCTAAATCTCGGTGCAGTGGGAAGCAGGTCAGAGCATCACCGGGTAGGTGTGCAGGACACGATGGCTAGCTGCCTCTGGGCCTACCCTGTTCTCGTGCCATCACCGGCCAGCCCTTTGCTGTGGGCCTCTCAGACAAGCAGGAAGTGTGTGCATTTGTATCGAGAGAAGCACTTTGCACAGCCCACCGGGGAGGGAGAATGAACATGTGAAGAGTCGGCCAGGAGGGGCCTCCTCCAAGGGCTTCTGGGGGGAGCGGTTCTCAGCACCTCCTCAGAGTGGGACTGATGGGACTGTCATTGCAGGGTCACACTGCACCGTACAAAACGGTCTCCGCCCGTGCCGCTGTGCCATCCACCGTCCTCCGGCTTCCGGCAGCTGCTTTCCAAGGCATTTTTGAGAAATACCCTGAGACCCTGGTGAGGGTGGTGCAGGTGGGCCACATTTTCAGTCTACTCCTCCAGCTGCTGTGGTCATCTTAGGTGTGAACCTGGCAGCAGCTTTGAGATGTGAGTAGGTTTGTTGTCTGCACACTACCTCAGTGCTGAGTTGTGTAGCCATTAAGAGGAACTCAGAAGAATAGTGGAGACTTGGTTGGCAGGACTCACTGCTGGGGATGTGGGATTCCAGGCAGAAGTAGGAAGAACCAAGACGGTGTTAAAACTTTGTAACACATATTTTACAATGAAAATTAATATTCAAAGCCGCAAGGAGGTCTTAAGATCTCCCACTGCCCCCACAGATTTCTGAATTTTTATTAAACTTCTTATTTTAGAGTAATTTTAGATTTACAGAAAACTCGCAAAAGCAATGCAGCTTCCGTTTGCCCCTCACCCCATTCCCCATGATGCTAACACCTTGCATTACCAGGGCAAGTTGCCAAGACTTGGGCTTTCACCCTAAGAGTTCCCCTGAGAGGGCTGGGGTGGTCTTGTCTGGGTGCATGGGCTGAGGTCCCAGTGCTCTGGGGCAGCCCCTCCCCCACCCTGGGCCTGCAGCTGTGGCTGGCAGCCCACGGCATCTCTGTTGCAGATCATCATGGTGCGGCTGCAGAGGGTGACCTTTCTGGCTCTGCACAACCACCTGGGCCTGACCACGGAGCTCTTCAACCCTGTGAGTAAAAACACCACCTCAGAAAGCCCTGCGTTCGCTCCGTGTGGTGTCAGGACCCCCGTTGTCCGGAGCTGCAGGAGCCCAGTGGGGGGGCAGTGCCAACCACTGCTGTGGCTATGCTGGCTGCTGGCCATGAGGACCTTGGGCTTGGGGAGGTGATGCTTGGGCCATGTTTGCTTTTCTGCCTTCAAGCAAATACCAGGTGGTTAGTTGGGGGCTGCTTGCGAAACCAGGGATCTGTGGTCAGTTAAGACTTGGGAAAGATTTAACCAAAAACGACATTATTCTTGGTGCATTTTCATTATATAGTGTTAACAAGATTAGTTGCAAACAAAATACTTAAGATATTTGTTTAAAAAGAAAAAGGCTTTTAGCTGGGCTCAGTGGCTCAGCCTGTAATCCCGCGCCTTGGGAGGCTGAGGTGAGTGGACTGCCTGAGCCCGCGGGTTCAAGACCCACCTGGGCAACTCGGCGAGACCTCATCTCTACAGTAAATCAAAAAAATTAGCCAGTTGTGGTAGCGCGCGCCTGTAGTTCCAGCTACTTGGAAGGCTGAGGCGGAAGGATCGCTGGAGCCCAGCAGGTCGAGGCGGTGGTGGCCAGGAGTGGCCACTGCACTCCAGTCTGGGTGACAGAGTGAGACTCCAACTCAAAAAAAAAAAAAAAAGGCTTTGGAAAGGTGGGCTTCCTCCTCAGATACTGGAGTTCATCCCTTCTGGAGACCCACCAGATTGCGAGCAGCCTTGATGTGGCCTTCCGTTCTCGAGAGTCTGGGGTTGGGGCCTCGACAAGGTGTCCTGCTCTTACCTGTTTCATAAAGCCCCAACTGTGCAGACACACACCTTCCCTTTCTCGTGCCCCACGCAGACCTGACTGCCGTGACTGGGGGAGGCTGCCACCTACTTTTGTCCCTGTCCCTTGGAGTTCATCTGGCCAGCACCCAGCTCTGTGTCCTGCCGTGGATTCCTCCTGTCAAGTTCCGGTGGGGTTGAGCTGGCCAAGTGTGGCAAAGCATGGCCGAGGGTGCAAGGCGTGAACCCTGGCCCTTGCTCTTTCCGGTGTGACCCGGGAGACGCTGGGCCTGTGAAGCAGGGCAGGGCTAGCCCCCTGTGGAGCTCCTGTAAGAACTGAATGAGACCGGGGTCCACCCCTGTGCTCCCCCGTAGCCTACAGCAGCACGCAAGTGCAGGAGGGCCTAGCAAGACGGGCATGTACGCCTCAGGCCTTCAGAGACTCCCCTGGCCCAGTGGACGTGGCCTGAAGGATTTTTTTTTTTTTTTTTTTTTTTTTTTTTTTTTTTTT